CTGTGCCACGTGCTCTAGGTGACCTTGCGTGTGCAGGGGGGTTGGACTGGATGATCTCTGAGGTCCCTTCCAACATTAAGCATTCTCTGATTCTATGAATCTAGGCAAAATCCAAYGCATGAGCTTGTCAGGAAAGGCCTTTCTAAATGCTTTTTGAGCACTTTGGCCTTCCTTAGACCAATGCAAATCACAGGGTTCACATGAAATCTTTTGAGGAAGTTGAACTCTAGAAACTTTATTCTGCTATTTTGCCATGTTCAATATCTGAAAGCTGTGTACTCAGCCTACGAAGTAGATTATTTTTTACCAACGGTAAACCAGTCGTTCCTATATGTTCCACTCCATTCCAATCCTGCAGCATAAGCTAACACAGTCTCTGTAGGCTAATCAACAGAGAAGATTTTTAGTGTAGAAATAAAGGCTTAGCCATGTGTACCAGCCATCAAAGCCGCCTTCATGCTTCTATTGCAAAGCACTTCCCCAGATCGTGGTAGCTTCTGTATGTTAAGGTGAAGCTGAAATCCCACGTGGGAGAGTGGAGAGGAGGGAGGAGAAGAGGCAGGGGGACCTGGGAGCAGGCCGGGAGCCATGTGGGGTGCGAGATGTCTCCAGGACTACTCGCTCATTCCCCATTCCTGTGGCTGCAGGCTTGGGTACTGGTGCAGCCAGGCAAGTGCACACTCTTGCAGTGCCATCTCACAAGGAGTAGTTGACTAAAYGTGGGTGCAGGTGATGCAGCTGATGTCTGGAGAGCTCTCAGTGTGTCAGAATTAATCACCATGAACTCCAGTGATTTTTATAGTACCACTGTTCACGTGGTTGCCTTGGTGGACATACAAGTACTGCAAAAGCCACATTCCCAAGACAGAGCAACATTCTTGCTGCATCCTTGTCAGTATTCTCTGGCTAGAGAACTAGTACCATCATAAAAAAAAAATAGTTTTCCTCTGCTGTCTCATCAGTCATCTGTGTATGCAAACATATAATTGAAATGTAATCTAATTAAATGGCTCTGCTATGTTATTAAACTCTGCTAACCCCCCCCCCATTAAGTAGCAATTGAGGAAAACACACCAAGATGCTTACCTAACTCACATGGCCCGAACCCAAAAGAGCGTTGTCAGGCCTGGGTAATGTCCAYCAGTTTGAAAAGGAAGCGACATGATGGCTTTGTGCAATCCAGAACTGTCTTTCATATTGGTCCCAGTCTAGATTTTTTAGACTCTCACTCAGGAGTAACATTCTAGAGCAACAGCACTATCATGTGCTATAGCAAAAGCATGTGCTTTTTTGTTTGTTTTTTTTTTCTAAACTGAAAGCAGAGGTATTCTCCCCTTCAATAGAGCAGCTCTGGAGGCAGAAACAGAGGTACAGAATCTCCTTTTAAAGAAAGTAATTTAGCGTCAATGCAGTTTAGTATCACTGAGCACCCAAAGCAATCAAAATCAGCACCAAAATGTGGGAACCTTAGTTGCCAAGTGTGTGAAAGAAGCATGTCAACACAAGAAGCCTCCTTTTCAATGGTTTGAATATGGAGAGAAAACAGCTGTGAGGAGGCAGTCTCCTAGTCAGTCTCCTCTTCATCTTCTCTTCATTTTTCTCTTTCCTTATATAGCCAAATCAAGAAACCTCTTTGTATGTTTATGATTCCAAATCTGGTCCAAGTTGGCTGKTTTTTTTTCCCATTAACTTTACAGCAGTGCTACAGTATAAACCATCCCCAGAGTTTGCACTGGGTGTCACAGCAAGCTGGTACCTAGAGCTTGTGTCTGTTCTGAAATTGTCACCAGTTTCTCTTCTGATATACCAGGGGAGAGGGCTGATGGATGTTGCGAAAGGCAATTGGGAAGGGGAACATGCCCATGTTTCTGTTCTCTGTGTGGCTKCCTCTGCTGGCGCCTCTAGCTTCCTCTGTGCTGGGGCTGAAGGCTTGGACGAGAAAATATGCTGACGCTGGGGGGAGACAGCAGCTCAGGTTTACTTCGGTTTCTTTATTTCAGTTCAGAAAAACAGAGGGGAACCTTGAAGACTGGTTTCTTACAGCAAGAAGCTTGATGTGATCAGTCTAGGCAAGCTTAAAAGAAGAAAAAAAAGCAATTCATTTCAGCTGAGTTGCTACAAGTGAGGAGACAACAAGAAGMGAGAGCCTTGACATGTGCAGTATGAGTTTGCAGCTTTTTAGATGGCAGAGAATCTATATGGAGCTCTGTTACAGATGTTCCTACCCCACAAAGGGTGGCAAGTCACTCTATTCTGAAGGTAAAGAAATTTATTTCTTTACCATTGCATAGAATCAGTCTCTTTGAAAAAAAAATACGTTGTAGAGATGGGGCATTTAACCTCATTCACCCAGGTCAATTRTTGTCAGTGCCTCCAATGCCAAGTGTTGAAGATTGAAAAATTGAAAGGATTTGCCCCATCAGCACCTTGCATTGAAGCACAGTGTTAAACAGAGAACCTCTAAATAGGGGAAGAACTGCAYTGAAATGATCATTACAGCTCTGCTTCATAAACTGGAGGAAAATKAATGTCTTTTTTCATGAAAACAAAGCTTGGAGATGGTTTCAGAAGTAATTAGTCAATAAGATGTCATGTAAATTCAGGTGATTTGCATTCCAGCTAGTTTAGAGCAATGGGACATCTGCTATGTTTTATTTGTCAACATACACATTTGCATCTGCTTCTTCTCTTTATGCAAAGCTACTTTAATTATTTTATGCTAGTGATGCATCTCAGTCACATCAAGCTGGGAAAAAGATTACTCACTTTGACATCCTGCAATGGTCAGGTATAGTGGGCCTCATGATAAGAGCTGTTGCTAGCAAAGATAATAAAGTAATACCTATTTAAAATCCTACCAAGAAGATATTAGACTCATGCATGCTATTTCAAATGCTCTTGAATTAGGCACATGTGATTTAGTAACATCCTCCTATTAGAATGTTTAGTCATATGTTAAAGGAATTGCTTGTCATCCTAAATTACCAGTTGAGTCAGAACTGTATGAGCCACAATATTTTTCTTCAGTACAAAGGGTTGCAAGGTTTTGTAGAAAACATGATTTGTAATTACTCTTACAGAGCAGCAAAGGGAGAGGGAGGAAGGAAGTAYAGGACTCATCTCGGAGGAGTTTGTAAAAAAATACTAAAGTTCATTGGATTTCAAACTTGCTTCTTTTTCTGCCCACGGGCTTACGTATGCATGAAACAGGACTGGTTAGAAAAGGTTTATAAGCCCTCAACCTCCAAGCAGAAGGTGCTTAGAGGGACCTTCCCAAGCCAAGAGTCCGTTGCAGGAAAAGAATGTTTTCCCCTTGCTCCCTGGGAGGTATCMCTCCAAACAACCTCCTCTTTCCTCATTCTTATTTCTGCAAAGGCTTTACCCCTCATTCTAGCAAAGAATACAAAATAGAAAAGACTGTTAAATTGCTGTGAGAGAAACTACTCCCTTATGAGTCCTTATTACTGAGAATTAATCCAAAGCAGGTGATTCCATATATTGTCCTGCTGACTTCGCTGAGAATTCCTGAGAGTGTAAGGCACACCCTAGCAATGAATGAAAGTGTTGCAGATTGGCCCTAAACTCGCAGTTGTGAGTGCAAGTGGTAGAAGACACTGATAAGGTTGAGCCGTGATGAGGCGGCAGTCTGGGAATCTGCTCAAATTCTGGTCTTACTCAGTTTTAGGCAAATCCAGAC